CATGCCCCATAAGCAAGTGGCACTTGGGGCCCTGCACCACATCAACACACACAGCTCCTGAGGACTAAGCTAATTACAAACCCCAGAGGAGCCCAGGAGTATGAAGCCTCTTACCCTGAGCTGCAGCTGGAATGTTACCAGCTTACAGATCAGGAGCAGAGCACACACCAAGCCCCAGCTTACAGGGATGACACCACAGCAGCTCACACATGAGCACAAGCCTGAGGATCAAGCCCAGCATCTGCACAGACTGTGCAGCCTCTGGACTCATTAGGGCAAATCCAGACCATGCACTGAGGGGGGATCTGTGGCCAGTCTGCCCTACAAGGACACATCTGCTCCATCACTGACATTTCAGGGATCACTACACTTGCTCTACCAGCAAACAACCCCAAGGACCCCAGCAGGACTTACCACCAGTGCTGGGCAGCATCCAGCAAGGGCTTTCTCCATCCAACTACAATCCTCCTCTGTTACTCCAAAAGCAGGTGAGACACCCAGTCACAAGAAGAAGGAGAAATCCCCTCCTTTTGCAGTCAAACCCTCAAGAGCTGCCCAGCAGGGAACACAGCCTAGAAATGCCCTCTAAGCAGGAGGGTGGATGCTCAGCAAACCAACATCCTACCCCCAAGGACACAAGGCAGCCAGAGCCTGGGCAAGCCCAGCCCTTTCATAAGCCATTCCCAGGTGAAACCTGTTGACATGAGCTGGTCTGGGGAGATTCATATCACCTGGGGCCAACCCTGGATGCTCCTTGGTCCTGCTGGCTCCAACATTTACCTCTTGATGGGTTGTGAAGGGGATGTGGTGGCTCTTCAGGTGTCATGGGCATGGCCCCAGCAAAGTGCAGGGGAAGCCCAGCTCCTCAAGGCACAGACATAGAGGCCTGTGTCATCTGCATGGCCTGATGTGTAGCAGGGTTGAGGGTGACATGTGTTGCACTGGTTTCTTGCAAAAGCAGAGATGAGCTGCTCAATGAGAGTAAAAGCAGCCAGCTCACAGCTCCCTCCCCACCCCCCAAAGCTCTATATTTGTGGTGATTTACCCTCCTCACATTACTCTTCCACCAGTTCAGCTAAAGGATGTCAAAGTTATCCTCACTCTGAGAAGGGGAAATAGGGTGAGAGGGAGATGAAGTGACATGACAGAGGTCAGCCAGAGGGTCTGTGTCAAAAGAAGGACTGACCTCCATCTCTCCCAAATTGCAGCCTGGGTTGGGTCTCCATGTGTATGTGAGCCCTGTGTGTGTAGGGGACAGTTTTCCTGCAAAGTGACCCATGGCTCTAGAGTCTGTGTGAGTGTGGGGTGCCCATGGAGTGGCTGATGCAGGTTGTCTTGGTGCTCCCAGGGGAGCTCAGATGCTCAAATGCTCACACATGAGCCCTCCTGAGGAATAATTTAATTTCATCCCCTTTTTACCTTTTTCTCCCACACCCCTGCAAAGCAAGAGCCAGGCAGATCTGCATGATTTTTGAGGTCAGAACTTTGTTCTTGCATAAAAGTCTTAAAAAAAAACCCAGCCCCGCCCCCCCTGCCAAGCCACAGAAAAACAGAGTGGGAGAAAGAGAAGGAGAATGGAACAAGCCTGGGAAGCCAGCTCTGCACTTTGCCTCTGCTGCCTGGGACAAGGGTCTCTTTGTTTCCCTGTCCAGAGCCTGATGCACTGGCCCTTTTCAGTCTCCCTCCCTGGGAAAGGGGCCAGGGGGAAGAAGGCACAGGCAGGGCAGGCAAAACCCTGGTGCTGCAGTGAGTAACCCCTGCTCAGACCCTGCCAAGGTCCCCACCTTCACAGAGCTGGTCTGTGTAACATCTGCCAGAAATGGCACCAGGAGAAAAAGCTGCCTGAAATCCCCTTGGGGGATCCCCTTTGGGTCTCTGCTTCCCACACCCCATCTCTGAAAATGAAGGTGCTCGTGTTCCTGCCACACAGGAGGTTTTAAGCTTTTCTGTGTCTTTTGGACTTCTCAGTCCTAAAGCACTTGCTAAAATGCCTTGAAGCACCCAAACTGGTGTGTGACCTGCCCGTGGCTTCCCAGACCCACGAGCCACATCACCATGGCTTTGCTGGGTCTGCTAGGGACAAGCTGCTCATCTCCTTCCACCCCAGGAACACTTCCAGGGTGTCCACAAGCAATGACATGGAGCTGGTGATGACTGTGGACTCAGCCAGCTGGGGAGGAGACTTGCTGTGGGAGATCAGATAGAAGTTTGGAGTGGTGTGACCCTTCTTCTCATTTTCTTGCACTGAAAAACCCTGGAGCTCTGCCTGGCTGCTGGCAATTCTCCTTCTCCTGTCCTCAGAGGCACAGAGCTGGGGCTGGGAATCATGCAGCCTGGAGCAGCTCTGCTATGAGGACAGGTAAAGAGAGTTGGGGCTGTTCAGCCTGGAGAAGAGAAGGCTCCAGGCAGACCTCAGAGCACCTTCCAGTACTTGAAAGGGACCTCCAGGAAAGCTGGGGAGGGGCTTTTCAACAGAGAAGATAGTGAAAGGACAAGGGGTGATGGTTTTAAACTGAGAGAGGGGAGATTTAGGTTAGATATTAGGAAGAAATTCTTCACTATAAGAGTGGTGAGGAACTGGAATGGGTTGCCCAGGGAGGTTGTTGATGCCCCATCCCTGGAGGTTTTAAGGCCAGGTTGGATGAGGTTTTGTGCAGCCTGGTCTGGTGGTTCCCTGCTCATGGCAAGGGGGTTGGAACTTGATGATCTTTAAGGTCTCTTCCAACCTTAATGATCCTATGATTCCCTTGGGGCTCTTGGGTGCTCTTGGCACAGCTCTTCTCCTGAGCAGAGGGGCCAAAACAATGTCCCCAACTAACCCCAAAATTCAATGCTGGCTGCTCTGGGAAGGCCCTGCTGCACCCAGGCACTTTGCAGCCTGGTCCTGCTTCCACCATGCTCCATTTCCCGTCCTTCTGTGGGATGATACCTACTGGAAAGCAGGGCAGGAAAACAAGAGCAATCTCTTCCCAGGTGAAAAAAAAAAAAGGAAGGTCCTCCTCAAGGCTCTTTCTCCACCCAGGAAAAGGAAATGTTTGGGGTGTGCTGTACCAGCATGGCTTTGGGCTTCAGGGATACACAACGTGTTCAACCTCATCCCATGGGGACAGTAGGGATGGCTCTTCCTAACTCCCCATCCTCGTCCTGAAGCTAGGAAGGATATTTGCACCCCAGGGATCCCTTTCCAAAGGGCCCAGGTGCCCCTTGATCCCAGGGGGATGCTGTGGGAAGCAGCCCTGCTGCTGCTCCCTGCTTCTGCTCTGAACAGCAGTGGCCGGGATGGAGGGGAGATGGCACAGGGCTGTGTTAAAGCAAATACATTCAAGGAAAAGGCCTCGTCCACGTTTCCTCAGCAACCACCACGTCACTCGGCACGTCTGGGCTTCCCCCCCTCCCCTTTCTTATTATTAAAAGGGAAAAGAAAGGGAAGCAGAAAGTGAAGTGGAGCTGGGACAGTCTCCTGGCAACGCTGGGGACAGGGATGTCCTCCTGCCAGGGGACATGGCTCCGGCACAGGGAGCCTGGCCAGCCCTTGTGGCTGGAGTAGCAGGATGGACAGGGTGTCCCTGGTGTCCCTTGGGATGCAGGTGATGGCACACCTGGCACGGCCCCATCCCAGGGATGCCCAGCTGCTGCCCAGCCACGGCAGCCTTGCCAAGCCCTGATCCATCCAGCCTGGGGCTTTGGTTTGCAGAGTGGGGGGAGCTCAATCCCTTCTGTTTCTCTCTCTTAATTCAAGGCATTTTGGGGCTGGGGACAGGGTCCCCTTGTGATCTGTCACTGCTGCCTGCTGTGGGGACCTCGCACGCCCGGGCTCAGGGTGACCAGGATCCCCCCACCCCTCCAACCCCTGTCATTGGAGCTTCTTAATCCTGGCTCTGGGGGGGCTCGGGGGTTGGCAGGAGCAACTTCTACTGCCTTCCCCGGTGCCCTGGACCGAGGGGTCACCCTGTGCCCAGCAGCAAGGTCCTGCCAGCCCCCAGCCCAGCTGTGGAACCAGCCACAGATGGTGCTGGAGCTGCGAGCAAGCAGGGCCAGAAGGCAACAGCAGCAGCCCAGGTCCTGCAGGGCAGCCCTGCTTGGCTCAGCCACCCTGACCTCAGCCACTCCAGAAAGGATCCTAAACCCCCAGATTGCCACGAGCAGCCAGAAAAGGATCACTCTCTGTTTGCCCATTTCTTATTCCCTTTCTCTCAGCCTCCACTGCTGGGTCCTGACAGAAAAAGGTGCTGAGCAGGGCAGGGCTTTGCTCCCACCTGTTATCACGGATGTACATTTAATTCACCAGCATTAGATACCTTGCAATGGACTACCCAAGCTCAACACTATTTTTTATCACTGTGTGTTTATCTGACAGGGGAAATCGATCTGTTCCTGCAAATGCCAAGAGCAAGCTGATACCTCAGACTAAGAGAAAGAGAAATAAAACAAGGTTTCTAAGGGAGGGTGGTGGGGTTCCCCCTGCAGCAATCTGTGCTGGGACCCCATGGGCAGGAGGTGGGTGCAGGTGGTACCCAGAAACCAAAGGCATGGCAGGGGATACCCTTCTTGGAGCTGGGCACATGAAGGTGTGACATGAAGGTGTCACCACTGGGTAGGTCATGAAGCCACAACAGGTCCCCTCACAGCCTGTGTCCCCTCTTCTGGTGCTCTTCCCACTGCTGCCATGCCTGCCCTCTCCTGCCCGAGAGCTGGGTCCTGCCTTCTGCTCTCCAAGCCATGGCAGCTGTCAGGAAACACTTCCCCCTCTGCTGGGAAATGCCTCATCCTGAGCCTCAGCTGAGCAAGACCCCGGGGTCCTGGCACATGGGACCAGGCAGATGGACAAGCTGTGCCCAGTCCTGGCCTCACTTCTGCCAGGCAGCCAGAGCAAAGCTGAGCTGAGGTGAAGCTCCAGGCTGGGGGAGTGGTGGGTGTCCCTGTGCAGACCCCTCCAACAGGGCTTTCCCCCAGGCCCCTTCCCCTGAGAGTGTTGCTCACCCTGCTTCTCTCTGCAGGTTCATGAATCACCGTGTCCCGTCCCACTGCAGGTACCAGCCCACGGAGTACGAGCACGCGGCCAACTGTGCCACCCACGCCGTGAGTCCCTGTCCCAGGGTGAGGGAGGATGGTGCTTAGGTCTTCAGGATCCCCAGAAACACACAAAAAATGTCTGTGTTCAGCCCTGGAACACCTCCTGAGGGTCTTTGGGCTGTGATGAGGTAGATGTGCTCCAGGTGCTCCCAGGGAGCAGGGATACTCTCCCCTCTCTGCCCTGGGAAGCTGGTCTGCATCTCCCTTTGCTTTCACCTGCCATGGCCCCATGTCCCCAGGGAAGCCAGCTGTGAACTTAGTGGAGCAAGAGTATTTTGCAAAGCTCCCTGAAAATGGAGTGGTTTTGACAGCAGCAATGGTAACACCGTGGGGTGGCCCACACAGCCATGGGAGCAAGTGCTCCTCACATCAAGGTTTCCCTTGGGAGTGTCCCACTCAGAGCCCTGTCTCAGAGATACCCATCCTCCTTGTGCTTTCCTCCTCCCCCATCCTTCCACCTGGGGAAGATAATTTGGAGAAGGAGAGCCCCTACCTGGCTGGTGCAGGTGACCAGCCTGTCCCTTGTGGGTGGTAGCTTCATCCAGAAGCAGAAGAAACACCTACAAGGACAAGCAGAGACTGTGTTGTAGCTCCTCAATGGAAACCCAGAGAGTCAACAGCAGGTTTGCTTCTCCCTTCCAGTTCTGGATCCTACCCAGCATCCTTGGCAGCTCCATCCTCTACATCCTCTCTGATGACCACTGGGAAACCATCTCAGCCTGGATCTACGGCTTTGGCTTGTCCAGCCTCTTCATTGTCTCCACCATTTTCCACACCATCTCCTGGAAGAAGAGGCATCTCAGGTACCAACCCTGATTCCTCAGGGCTCAGGAGGGGGGAGAGGGTCTGGAGGCTCCTGGTGCCACAGGTTGTGACCCATCTGTCTGTCCATCCCTCAGGACCGTGGAGCACTGCTTGCACATGTTTGACAGGATGGTGATCTACTTCTTCATCGCAGCTTCATATGCTCCCTGGTGAGTTGCTGGTGAGTGGGGGTCATCGCTTGGCCCCACTGGAGTGGAGAACATCAGCCTGGCTCCAGCAAACAGGGTTTCCACCTCCAGCTCTGCTCAAGGCTGCACCTTCCCCCCCTTCCACAAAGCCTTCCTATCCTGTAGATTTCAACCCCTTTAAGTTGAAGCTACAAGCTGGGAGGTCCCTTTGGTGGGACAGCCATGGGAGTGAGGGCAGTATTTCCCTCTTGGTGCCCCCAGCCCCAACCAGGGTGCTGCCCTGGACCCCCCTCACCACAGACCTGGGTCTTGCAGGCTGAACCTGAGGGAGTTGGGTCCCTGGGCTTCCCACATGCGCTGGATCATCTGGATCATGGCATCGATTGGAACAGTCTATGTTTTCTTCTTCCATGAGAGGTGAGTGACCCCTCCCAGCTCTGCCAGCCCCTCTGAACGCCCTGAGGGAGTTGAGCTGCAAGGGAGAGAAGGAAGGATGGAAAGGGACAGACAGACAGATAGGCAGAGGGGCTTTGGGCAGCCTCCTGGCCAAATGGCAGCGGAGGGCTTCCTTGGACCGCGTCCCTCCCCACCTGCACTCTGGCTTTAGGAGCTTCTTGTGGCAGGGATGTAGGAGAAAGACACGGAAGCAAGGATGCGTGGGCAGGGATCTGCTGCCATGAGGTGCTTCTTCCACGTGGTGGCACCAAATAGAAGCAAAAGGCCCCGGACGTCTCTCCAAAGCCCCAAACAGCTGGAGCTGAGCTGGGGTCTCCCAAAGCCAGACAAGGGGTCCAGCACCCCGGAGCAGGGTGCCAGCCCCCCACCGTGGGGTGGCTCAAGGATGTGGGTCCTGCCCCGGTGGCACCACCCCCCCTTTTCCTACAGCACTGCTGCAGACCCTGCAGCTGTAAAACTCAGTGCTCCCTCTGCACCCACCTCCAAGGAGCTTCTCTGTCGGTCGCAGGTACAAGCTGGTGGAGCTGGTGTGTTACGTTATCATGGGCTTCTTCCCTGCCTTGGTCATCCTCTCCATGGTAAGGCACTGCTGGGAAGCACCTGCAGGGACAAGTACCAGCACGGCTGGTTTGGCTCTGGTGGGTTGGTGTGGTCCAGGCTATGTGATGGACAAAGCCACCCCCAAACACAAGGTGGCCTGTCTCTGTTTTCCCAGGGATCTGAGTGCCCAGCAGATATCAGCTGCACCTCCAGCAGATCTCCTGCCTGGGCTCCGCTGGGTTGAAATCTTCCCAGCACAGCCAGGCTGCTGGCTCCCTGCTGCCTTGCTGGGTGGGAGGGGACAGCAGAAGGCAAACTGAGGGACCCTACAGCTGGGACCAGGCTTCTGGTCCTGCTGGAGCAGAGAGGAAAGGGCAGGTGTGGCGTGGCCACCGCTGAGCCCTCCTCCCTGCTTCCCCCCAGCCCAACAGGGACGGCCTCCTGGAGCTGGTGGCTGGTGGTCTTTCCTACTGCCTGGGCATGGTCTTCTTCAAAAGCGACGGCCGCATCCCCTTCGCCCATGCCATCTGGCACCTCTTTGTGGCCATGGGAGCTGGCATCCACTACTACGCCATCTGGAGGTACCTCTACTGGCCCGGCGCGCTGGAGGCTGCAACATCCCGGTAGATGCCTTAAAGACACGGTTGGAGCCACCAGCACTCGGGGGGAGCAGGGACCACCTGCAGGAGCTGGGATGATGGGGAGACCTGACCCCTTTCCCTCAGGATGCCCAGGCATGTGTCTGCCCCAGTTGGAGAGGGGGGCACATCAGGGCTGCTGCACCTCCAGGGCTCAGCTCCTAAATGGTTCTACGTCATGTCAGCACGAACCAGCTTCTCCCAGGTTCTTGATGGGAAGGTCTGGACTCAACAAAGCCTTACACGAGACTGAAACTTGAATCTCTTTTTAAGGGTCCCCAGAGTGCCCACGTATTGGAAAACTCCTTCTCTAAGCCAGTATTAAGTACATAACTCAGTATGTCCCTCCTGGATGGACCCTCGGAGCCCTCATGGACATCTTCTCCCTGGGGTGTTTTGTTTTCCTCTCTGGTCCTGGTGGCAGCTCTGAAGCACAGCCCTGCTCCCAGGCTCTGCCAGCTGTGCCTTTGCCTGGCAGGGAGCAGAGGGGGCATCCAGCTCCTGGCATCCACATCAGGGGATCTGCATTGTCCTCAAGGGAGGGAGTAAACCTCCTTGGACTGGGATCACAGCCTGCCTATCTTCTCCACTCCTGTTTTCATGATTAACCTCTTACTCAGTATCCGATTTAAATCCAGTTTTGGGAGGAATTCTGACATTCCCAGGAAAGCTGTAGGGAAGGGATGTATCCATGTGATGCTCCAAGGTGAGCTGGGATAGGGACGTCCTAGTGATGCTGTTTTTAAACCCCTAACCATGGCTACATAGTGCTCTCTAAGGCAGGGTAATGGGACATAGAACACCTGCCCAGCCATCAGTAGCAGCTCCTATGCTGATGGAGTGGGAAAACCACACCTCACCCCACTCCTGAAACACACCAGAGTTGCTGGAGCTGGGAGGGTCTGTGGGTGCCAGGCTGTGTGCCAGGAGCTGGCTGGCAGAGCAGCCCTGCCTGCACCTTCTCCAGGAGCCCTCCTACATCTCCTACATCTCCAGCAGCATTCCAAGGTGCCAAGCTCCTGGCCCTGCCCCTCTTCCCATGAAACTTAGGGTCTCCCCAGCCTGTGGTGCCCTGGGTCAGCTCTCCAGGACTGTGCCATTTTGCAGCAAATTACCAAAGGAAAGGCTGCCCCTCCTGACAGGGTGACAGGGGTCACCAGGTCAGCGAAGAATCTGCTGGGTTTTTTCTTCCATAGGCAGAAGGTTCCAATAAGGAGTTGCTAGTCCAACATGGAGCTGCTGGGAGATCTCTGCCTGGGGCACCCCAAAGCAGCCTTTGGGCTGGGACACCTCCTGGGGTGAGGGATGGTCTTAGTGACAGGGGGGGTGATGACTGGGTGTGAGCCCAGTCTCTGCTGCTGCCTCTCCCAGGCTCTCAGGTCCCAGCCCTTGCTCCATCACCTGCAGCAGGGGGGGAGGAGAAGGCTTAATTACAAGTAACCAGCAGCTGGTGGAGTAGGTTTGGGGTTGGAATAGCAAAATATGGGGTCCCAGGGTGGGAGCTGCCATTTTTTCTCCCTGGCAAGTTGTTACCCTTCTCCGTGCCTCAGTTTTCCCATCTGTAAAATGGGTGTGAAGACACTGCCCTACCTCACAGGACTTATGTGAGGACCCTGTGAAGCTCCTGGAGCATGACCAGTGCTTTACAAACCCACTTCAATTTTCACTGAGTCCAGGCGATTGGATTTCCAGAGCCACCACAGGGGATGGTGACAAATGCCATTCAGCCTGCCTGGGTCTCCTTCCCCTCCATCACTAAATCCCACAAGGGAACCCCCCTGGGGACAGACCATGCACACAGCAGTCCCATCCACCAGGCAAGTGTCCCTTGGCAGGGGCTGAGGATGCCCAGGGACCACTGCTGCATTTTGTCCCTGGGCTTGATCTCAAGGGATTTCTCTCAGAAGCCATTTTGCCACTGGGGTCTTTCAGCTCTAAATCCATCCCAAGGGCTCTCGAGGCACAGAGAGGTGCCAGAAGGACCTTTCTGAGGCCTCTTCATCTCAGCCGCCTGCTGAAAAGCCAGGGCAGATCAGCTGCCTGGGTGGGAACGGGTGACCAGGCTCCATCAGGGACGTTGCCATCCTGTCTTCACCTTGGATTTGCTGAGTGGGCTTTTCCATATTTGTGAAGCCCCCCTGCTTCTCTTCCTCTTTCCCCCTTCTCTTGCTTCCTAAAGTCATTCCCCTGCAAAGCAAAGTGGGGGACACTGAGCAGGCTATCGGATTGTCCTCCTATTTTATACTAATTTTAAATGACTTGTAACATTCAGGATGTATCCAGAGGAGGGTTTGTTTGATCTTTTTAGCATCTCGTGTTTTTCACTGTCCATTCTTGTTCAATCAGTATTTTATATTTAACACAGTATTGGATCAAATTAAAAACAACTGTGAGGAATAGAACGTGCACAAATATTGTTTCCTGTGGAGTAGGATTGAAATAAAAAACTCAAGATACCTCACTATTGCCTGCTTATGAATGAAAATGAGCTTCCCTGCAGCATCAGGAAATAATATTCAGGAAATAATATTCTATCTGGCTTGCCTTGCATGGCATCACTCCCCAGTGAGGAGAGGAGCCACTCGACCAGCTGCAGGGGGCCCTGCTGGCAGTGACGGGGTGCTGAGCACCCACACCTCGGTGCATGGGTGGCATTGGCATCTGCTGGCTTGGCCTGCCGAGGAAGGGATCAGTGCTGCTTCACCTTTTGCACCAGCAGCACGGGGAGAGTTGGGAGTGTAAGGACGTGCTGAGCTCCAGGCTGCAGATTTTCCTTAAAAAACAAAAGAATTGTTGAGGTTGTGGCATTGGTGGGAGGGTTTGCCAGCAGCTCAGCAGGGTGGTTTCAGTGCACAGACCTGCACACCCATGCCAGCCCTGTCATTTCCCCTCCTGTGGGTGACACACCTCGGGGGCCTGGGCTGCCCAAACTGGGAGGAAGGGAGCCCAGGAGGAGGAAGACCTGTGGCAGAGCAGGCAGAGGGGAAGCACTGCTTGCTGCAGGCCCCAGAGGGGAAACCCACCATCACCCACCAGCCTCTCCCACTGGCACTGGGTGCTCCTGGAGAGGGTGAATTTTCCCCCATCCAGGACCACATCCAGCCCCAGGACCTGCACACCCCCTGGCTGCCCTCCTGCTCACACTGCTCCATCCTAATGATGACAGGGCAGGATCCCCCCCGGGCTGCCCTGCTCAGCAGCTTCCCTGGAAAACCTGGGAGAGTTCCCTGCTTCCAGAGGCAGCTGAACTGACCCTGAAACCTGACCCACAACTTTCACCTTACCCATAATCTCTTTGCTGTTGGTGATGGGGCAGGACTGGGAGGTCTCCCACCTTGGTTTTGGCGCTGTCATTCCTCAAGGATGTCTGGGTGACAGACCCACCTTCCCACCCAAAGCACAACCCTGCAGCACCAGGTGGGGAAACGCCCGTTTCACCGAAAAGGAGACTTTTTAACTGAGGGAGGCAGAGCATCAGTGACCACCCGCTCTTCAACGACACCCGGCGACAGCCGCATCCACCCCTTCCCGGCTCCAATCACCCACAGGAGCCTCCGGGTCGACTTGGGAGCTTGTTTGGTGGAACCCGCTCAGTCACCGCCAGCAGCTCCCGGGCGGGCGCCACTGCGGGGCGCGGTGCGGGGCTGCGCGGTGCGGTGAGGGGCTGCGCGGTGCGGGGCTGCGCGGTGCGGTG